CTCTAATAACGACTCTGGGGGGACGCTGTGGCACCGGCGGGGGACTGGGGGGGCGCCGCGGGACCCAAGGTAGTTAATTGCTCTCCAGAGATGTTCCGTAATTAGCAGCCCGGCGGCATTAACCTCGGCCATTAAGGTCCAGCCCCTGCGGCAGGAGCTGGCCGGGTGCTGTGGGACGAGCGGGCGGTGGTTGATGCTTTTGATGCTCTCCCTAAAAAATACAAGCGGTTTGGGGGGGATGGAGCGCGTCCGGACGGCGCCGGTACCGGAGGGGAGCGGCGAGAAGGAATCAACCCCCGGGGTTAAACGGGGCCTGGGCCAGGCTCTGAGGGGGGCTCGGAACAGCCTGAGGGGGTGCAGGTGCTCCCCAAAGGGCTGCAGCTCGCCCCACGGACACAGGGCAGCTGGGTGACAAGGCTGCCATCCACAGCGCTCCATGGTCCCCTCACCTGGCCTTACCTTCCATGGTCCCCTCACCTGGCCTGACCTTCCATGGTCCCCTCACCTGGCTTTACCTTCCATGGTCCCCTCTCCTGGCCTTGTCCTCCATGGTCCCCTCACCCAGCCTTACCCTCTGTGGTCCCCTCACCTGGCCTTACCATCCATGGTCTCCTCGCCTGGCCTTATCCTCCGTGGTCCTCTCACCTGGCCTTACCCACAGGCGGGATTGCTCAGGACCCTAGTGACAGCTCCCATTAAAAAGGGATGCTCTTCCTTCGCGTACCAATTAGGTGCCTTCCACTGTATCATAAACTAGATAATTTATAGGCACGGGATGGTGTTGGGTTTTTGTGGGTTTTTTTTCAAGAGGAAAATGGTGGTACAGCTTTTCCAAAAATGAGAAGTGGAATCATTTCTTAAGTGAAGAGCAAACAGCCCTCGTGATTAGGAAGATGCCCTGCCAGCAGAACAGCCCCGCGGCTCAGCTAATGTCAACAGCAAAACTGTGACAGGCCAGTGCCCTGCTGGGGGGACTGGCAAAACAAATATTAGGTCTCTTCCCATGTAAACCACCCCAGGCAAGTTTTTCTGTCTTAGAAAAACAACAACAGAAAGCCGATGAAAACCAGCACACACCCCAGCATTTGCAGATCTTGCTGCCCTCACCCCACACTAGCAAGTGGATTTAAACTTAACTAAACTTCCATAACCCACTAGATGGCATCTTCCAGCAGATTTCCGTGCCTGCTGAGAGAGAAAAATTATCAAGGAAAGCATTTAATTTAGAGAGCAGGTTACAGTTCCTAAGTCTAACTACATGTTAAGGTAGCTTCTACTTTCATTTTAATTATCGATGAGAATAGGTTGCTAGATGATTTCTTTACCAGAAATGTTAATGCTTCCATTGTTCCTCCGTGGGTGGAGAAGATACCGACCCGTGAAATCCCTTTGCTCCTGCCTTTAAAGAAGAACGTATTCCCTTTATCATCACTGAATCACCTCCGGCAGCGCAGAGACTTTGGCCACTGTTGAATAATGCATAGCCACTAAAATTGTTCAACAATAAAGCTACATATATGTTACCTGGTAGGGTGAGAATCTAGGCTGGAAAGCTACAATACCTCTGATTTAATACTGCGGTGCCAGCATACTGCCATATGGACCCTTATAATATTATAACATCCACATCCCCTTGCCTCTGCAAGAGCTCTTCGAGAAGTGGTTGTGAAATAGCAGGCGGTTTCGTAGGTATGCACACAGGATTACAGTCTGCCCTTGGCAGAACATCCTCATTTATATAAAGAAATGACAGCCACAAAGTTTGAGAGTTAATTAAAACAAAGCTACTAGCTGGCTTGACATATGTTTAAATTTGGGATTGTGTGCCTGCTTGCTAAATTAAATGTTTGCCTCGTAAATTGACTTCAGTAGAATTGCACAAGTTCTAACTGGCAACAGAATATGGCTGGTGCTGCAGGTGCATCAGTATTTTGTATTTGAGAGCATCCTGAATGATCAGACCCTCTGAGGAGCCTCATAGGAATTGAAATTTGTCTGCTCCTCGGTGGTCACACTGGAAATGGATGTTCCAGGTCTTTTCTTTTCACTTTAAAACGGAGTTAATCCCACTGGGGTTACCAAGTAAAGTCATTCATACCCCATGAGGTGCCTTGGTCCCAAATATGTAGGTGTGTTTCTTCTACTAAAGCATTTCTCTCTAGCATTTCTCCCTCTTGTCTTTCTCCCGAAGTGTTGCGGTGGAGACAGAGCTCTGATTTTGGCCTGTTGGATGCAATGCCTTGGGGATTAATTGGCTACATGGAAAATAAACATGGATTTATGTTTCTGAGAAAGAAGAAAGCCTGTGGCTGTTAAGCCTCTAACTGGAAAGGGAAATGGTGTACCTTCCCAAGGCATCTTTTCAAAACAAATACAGGATAAATTAATAGCAGCTCAATCCTTGTTTGGAAGCTCTCTTTGCTAGTGAGCTGGGTTGCCCAGTTTGTAGCTCGTGTGTTGAGATGCTGCAGGGCAGAGTGCAGCAAAAGTGGGTAGCAGCGTGATGGAACCCTGGATGAAGGATGAGGGGCAGGGATGACCAGAGGGACTTGGTCAGCATATGCTGGGAGAGGGCAAGAGAGCATTGCAAAATGCTAATGGGAGTGGATGTGACAGGAGTTCCTGAGGTAAAGCCCACAGATGGCATGACAGCACGGAAACAAGATGGCATCAGGAGGGAATCAGTGCTCTCCTGCCTTCTGGTCTCCTCCGGCTGCAGCTCCTCAGGGCAAGGACTGACTCATGTGAAGGGCTGGATTCTGACCTTGGGGCTCCTGCAGGGGTGGGGAATGGAAAGCAGTATGTCCTTTGCATCCCTGCAAGAGACCTGAACAGTTACAGGATCCTCTCTCTCCTAATGAGTGGGCATGAGTGAGACAAAACCTGGCTTTCTGTGCCCCCAGCTGCGGTGCCAGCCAAATGGCACAAATTAGAGGGAGAAAATACTGCCTGAGGGATGGCATATCTACCTCTAATAGCAAAGGGGAAATGGGGAATGAACTATCATGCAAAACCCCATTAGACTTTTCTCTTGGGTTCACAGATGCTGCAGGTACATGTTGCCACTACAGGGGATGGAGCAAGAAACTCCAGTCCAGGTCTCCATGTCCACACTGTGCCCTGCGTCAGACGGCTGCGCCCGTAGGGAAAGTCAACTGCTCTGCTTATCCTTTGCCTGGGTTTTTGGATAGGTGTTTGTATGCTGGGTGATGCTTTCTCTTTTGTGCAAATCCTGTTTTTAACCAGGAGGAGAAAAGAAGAAAAATATTTTTAAAAATGAATGAGTCTCAGCCGTGGCTGTGTCACAACAGGACTTTTCTTTCCAAGGCATTTCTTTATCCTTCCAGCTCAAACCTCATGTGGACAGAATTGATTTGTTGTTTTTTTTTCCCCCCTCTTTTTTCTTTCTTGATAAAAGGCTATGCCCAGAAACTGGCTCACCTGTTGGCAGGAGCAGAGCCCTTCTCTGTTGCTCAGTAGGGGGTGCCTGCCAGCACAGCCCCCACAGCAATCCTGCTGGGCTCCCCCGAAACATGGACCTGCTTCCAGCCAGCACTCGAGATGCTATGAAACAATGCAAATGCTTGAATAGCTCACAGAAGTGAGGATGATTACAGGCTTTTAAAAAGAAATTGCAAGTCCTGGCACTGCGGGAGGGCGTCCAACCCTCTCCTCATGCTCCCAGGGACAGAGAGACAGCATCAACATCCCTGAATCCTTGTGCCCTGGCTGGGAAGCAAAATAGGGAGTTATCTGTGGTGTGACTGACCTGGGGGTTTATCTGCATAGGACAGATCTATGCACAGCTTTTAGCAGAAAAATAAATAAAATGAAAATGCTGATATTCCCAGTGGACCCACCTAAGTAAAATCCCTGTGGTCAACAGGGAGATCTGCCTGCATTTATTTTGGACAAACAGAGCCCAGCAGCGTGGGGCTGAAGGTGGGTGAAGCTGGATGCTGCTGGAGGATGCTCAGGGTCTTGCTGGGAAAGCGGTGCCATCCCCAGCAGTGGCTCCTCCAGCCCAGTGCAAAATGGAAGCAGTGGCTCCAGGTCTGTCTGCAGCCTGGAGAGGTGCTGTTGGAAAGATTTTCCTGGAGCGTAACACTCTTTTAACTCCTCAGGTCTTAAATCAGGTGGGTAATTTCACTGATCACCTGTGGCAGGGGAAATTGCTGATGTCTAAGTTGAAGCACAGCTCTGGAGGATGAGGCGGCGATGGCTTGCTGGGAGGATAAATACTGGAACAGAGTGTGAAGCAAGGAGGGATATGAGCCTCAAGCATTCTACATCGCAAACAGATGTGCCTATGTATCTGGAGATTTGCTTTGCATGGGAATGTGCTTTTCCCCCAGGAGTGCACTGAATCTCTTGCCCACCTCTGGGCCAGGCTGCCCAACTGGCAGGACCATCAGTGGTCGAGGAGAAAAAGCCCTTGCTGGACTTTGCAGGGACTGAACAGTCCCTGCTTTCCTCTCTGGGATTTGGTGGTCAGCGAGGTCCCCAATTTTCCAGGCAAAGCCTTGCACAAATCCATGCCAGGCTTAGTTCTAGCACTGTTTTCCCAAAGCCGCCCTGATAGTTTGTGCTTAATTATCAGCGGGGCTCAGTTTGGGGATGAGGAGACAGAGGGTCTATTCCTGGACATCTACTCGAGTAATCTTATTTTTAAAAAAATGAAAGCTGAAACTGTTGTTGCAGTCTTTCTGGCTGGAATAGGCAATGAGCCTTGTCTGCTCCCTCTGCTCTGAATTCAGAGCTGCTGCAATGAGTCGGACTGATTCCAAGTCCGACGGAGCCAGCCAGGCAGACTGCAGTCAAGATGTCCCCAAAACTCCCTGGCTCCTGCTTCTTTGAGCACACCGTGACTTTTGAGGCCAACATTTTCTATGCTTCTCAAGGGATTTGGAAGCTCATGCTCTAATAATTAAGGCAGCTTTGAACATCTTAGTCTTCAGCCTGACTTTTCTGACTGTTTCCCGTGGCAGCTGCTAGTACTTGGAACAGGAACCAGCTTTTAAAATGTTCTTGCCATGGGCTCGCATGGTTTTAGCAAGGAGGAACCTAAAGCAGGTTCTCTAATGCATATATAAGAGCAACACAGGGCTGGTTTCGAGGGAGACTTGCATCTTTCCTATGAACATGAGTAGTTTGTGCATCACTAGAGGAGATGTTTGTGAACGTGGAGGAGAGGTCTGTTCTTCTGCCAGCTTGCTGGATGTACTCTGGGATGAGAGTGGGCCTGAGGTCCAAGGTCTTCTTCAGGGTGGATCTGAAGTGGATCAAGAACACTTCTCCTCTAATTTGCTAAGTGTAATAAACTCTGGTTACACTGTTAAAAAATAGCCTTATGGAAAGGGGAAAGAAGGATAAAGATGCTTAACCCAGCACTAAAATACCTAATGCTGAAGAGAGCCAGGAGAAAGAGAAAAATAAAGCTGGTTATGAGAAAATTTAAGTGAAGTGCATAAAAGCTTAAACGATACGGATAATATCATCTCAAGTTACTGCTCTCAGCCCCACCAAGGGGAGAGGAGCAAGGGCTATAAAAAGTAAATAGAGGAGAATCGCATTCAGAACAGATGTCAAGAAGCACCTTCCCAAGCGGAGAATCAAAAATGCAGGGAATGACCTGCTAGGCAAA